GCTTATGTAGTCACGGAAGGCCTTAAACTCCTGATCTTCTCGCCTGCATCTCACAAGTTCTAGACTGCAGGTGTTTGTCACACACCTGATTTATACAGTGTTGGGTTCGGGCTTCATGCATGCTGGACAAGCATTCTACCAAGTATTGATATTCGAAGCCCTAAGGTTCGTTTTGTTCTATCTTGATTTTGTTTTTGTTTTGAGACAGAGTCTGCCTCATATCCCCGGTTGGCCTGGAACTTGCTATGTAGACCAGGCTGGCTTTAAACTAACAAAGATCCACCTGCCTCTCCCAGTGTCAACCTGACACTCCCAAATGTTTTTTGTTGTTGTTGTTGTTGTTTATTTGTTTTTAAATGACCAGTCAGTGAAGTCACTTTTCAACTCAAAAACCTTCTCATCTCACTAATGACTGGAATTCCAATTCCTCAATTCGAAGTATGGGTCAACTCAATGTAACTATTTCAGTCTGCCCCCTGCCCCTTTTCCTGTACTCTGTCCAGATCCACTGACAGCCTGACCACTGTAAGGATGCTGGCACAAGACCCTGCTGCTTTGGGGCTCGTGTATTGTCACTGCTCATCTAAATTCAAATCACAGTTGTACATAATAGATACTCAATAAATGTTATTCAATGGAAGGAAAAAAATGTTTTGGTGGAGCACGGGGAGGGGGAATTCGAGGATTAAATCTTGTGTGATTGCATGCATAAACTCAGAACATGATGATCCTGGCACAGAGGAAATACTCAAGCGTTGTCGGAGTTTTATTTGGAGGTTACAACGAAGACTAGGATTGAGTTTCTTTGCTAACACACAATTCACCCGCAGTACACTGTAATATCACCAGACAAAGAGAATCTCACACAATATCAGAAATAGAGGGTGGATAGGTTTAAATACGAATTCACCCTATATTCAAACAGCTAAAACCTAAATAAGCACTGTAATTCATGGTTTTCAAAGCTACTGCTTGACCTTTGCGTAATTGTTGGTTGTTAATTTCAGAGGTGTGAAGCAGCCATTGAAACTGCAGCACACTTTAATCCCCAGGGGCCCCCAGCAAGCTTTTGGGAAGCTGGGAGCTCTCTCAGAATCTCCATGTTTTTCCTGCTCTACCGACTGCTCACCTCAGCAGCTGGCCTCCTTCTTCATGCCTCTGGTTCTGGGGTTGCTATCGTTGCACTAGGACAGCTTTCTTTGACTCCTTTCAACCCCCACCTCACCGCTTCCAGCAGTCCAATCGCCATCCATAAATCCTGTCGCTGGCATCCGGGGTCTCTTAGGTAACAATGTGTGGTCTTTTGATTGGTCAGGGCATCCGAGGAAGGCTGGCTCCAAAAATTGGGCACAGAGATAAAAGGAGAAAGTGTGGCGGTCGAGTGAGTGGGAGGCGCTGTAGCATCTTGGTAGAATGCTCGGAGGAAGCTGTATTCAATCCTGAGACCAGCAGCCTTGAAAAATCTTCCTTCAAGACTCGCTGCGTTTGTGTTCCATAACAGCTCTTCGCGACCGAGCATGCCCAGTTATGTTGCTCTGGTCACTCGGGAGCTCCAAAATGCAAACTCCGTTGTGCCAGGTTTTAAGACTGCCCAGACCGGTGGAAGAGGGTTGGAGGACATAAAAATTGGCTACCAGTTGGATGGGGAAAAAAAAGCACCTGCAGAGGGAGAGGGAGGTCGTGGGGGAACTGCCCCAAGCCGAGTGACAGATACGCCAGGGAACCAGCAGATGGCACGCCCTTGTAAGAATAACTGAATTTACATTTTAAGATCCAGTCACATTTAATTAGCTAAATATATTGAGCACTCACCTTGTAGTGAGAACCAGAGAGTGCAAGGATTAAAAAAGAAAGAAAAAAGAAATCTGGAGGCGGGCATGGCGGCTCAGACCTGCAGTCCTAGCACTCTAAGAGGGTCAGGGTTCCTAGGAAAGCTTTGGCTAAAAAGGGAGTTGGAGACTAGCTTGAACTCCAAAACCCTGTCTAAAACATAAGAGGAATCTAACGAGAGAAACTGAACATTGTAATGTGCAAATAACCAATGTAAAGCCCAGGGTTCTAGTAGCTGTGATAGCAAGTTCTGGAAAATTCCAAGAAGTTCAAAATCCCATGCCTGCATCCACAGTGCAAAGCAATTTTGATAAGAAGCAGCAAACCAAAACTTAACCCCAGAACCTAAAACAAAAACAACTTTCCTAACTATCTTTACTTAATAAAATAACAGACACCTCCGACTTAAGCAGTCCCTCAGATCCTACATGTTTCATCATTTTTAATTTTTTAATAGTGTAGTTTTAAATTTAGGTTTATTTACATGTGTGTACCTATGTCTGAGTGTTGGCCTGTGTGTACCATGTGTAGAGGAGGTCAGAAAACAACTTTCAGGAACTGATTTTCTGGATCATGTAGGTCCAGGGCTCCAACTCAGGTGATAAGGCTTTCGACCAAATTCCTTTACCTATGAAACATCTTGCCAGCCTTATGTTTCATAGTTTTTAAATAGGCAGTATTTGCATATCTCCCATTTGAATGAAAAGGGGACAGTGGATTTCATGGAGGTTGGCGATTTTCCTAAGTTAACAATGGATCAGTGAGTGGCCAAGCTGAAATGAGAACCTAGGTTGTCTGGATTCCAACTTAGTGTTTTTTTCCAAATGACCGGCTTGTATGTAAATGAATAAACAAAACCTTTGGAGATGTGAGGGGGTGGCCTGGGGGAGGCAGGTAAAGATGTCATACTAAATTACCATGCATTACCAGTTAACATTTATGGTTTCAAAAAACGGGTTCATCCAGAAAGGGACCAGTTTTAACAATGCCTAGGTAGCTGAGTCTCCCTGTGAAGTGCCCGCTTGTTAAAAGCTTTCTATTAGTGGTTACAACATGGAAGGAAAGGGAGATGGGACATAGAAAGCATCTGGAGTTATCCCTGTGGGATTTGGATGTTTCCATTCCTATAGAAGATCTCTTTCTCGTCTCTTAACAGTACCTTCTGGGACTCCTCATGTCCTCTAGTTCCTCCAACTGACTGCTCCCCCAAAGGGGAATGAGTCACCCCATTCCCACTGTGTTCCTTGTGAGTCACCCTATTCCCACTGTATTCCTAGGGAACATGCACACATAGCCCAGTGTCTTGTGATATTTTGACATTACTTCTGTGTGGAACATATCACACATAAAGAAAAGCTTACAGACTTTTATAACTTATATCTCCACAGATGTTCCACCACCATATGTGCGCGCTCTCTCTCTCTCTCTCTCTCTTTTCCCCCCTGTATGTGTTTACCAGACATGTAGTAGCCCTTTCTGCACACAGATCCCATTGTCTTCTATGTCTAGAAAACCATTTGTGCTCAGCCTTCTTGTTCCTTTGTTTCGTTAGATATATGTTCACTCTTACAAGTGATTTATTCTTGCTAGTTTTTAAAGATGTGCCATGACTGACATATAGTGGTTTCCTTTTATTTGTAATTGTGTCTGTGTCACTCCCATCTGCTGATGTGAGCAGGGGCGCGGCCTGTGTCTGTTTTTATAGCATGAGGTGCACACTGAATAAGCAGGCTCCTGGCAAGCACGTTTCCAGTGCTTTAGTTATGGGGATCAAGCAGTACATAAAGCTATCACGAAGTTTCTCCTCTGCCTCATACACCACCTGCCTCTTTATCTACTTCCGTCAAGAGACACCACTGGGTCCCTGGGACATGTTTGACTTGCCTGGAATGGCCCTAAGAATCAATATTATTGTCCTAAAAATGTTGCTGCACAAGTGTCAATAAAGAAAATGGAAATTGTTGTTTCAGATTTTATTTATTGTTCTGGTCTATCAATTCGATATGAGGCTGATCCGAGCTCTCTCTCTCTCTCTCTCTCTCTCTCTCTCTCTCTCTCTCTCTCTCTCTCTCTCTCTCTGCACTTACAGGCCAGAGGTCAACCACAGGTGTGTTAGTCATTCTCACTGGCCTGGGGATCCATCGAATGGACTAGACCGAGTGACTAGCTAGCCCCAGGAATCTCCCTAGCTCCGTCTCACCAGCACTGGGATCATAAGTGCCTGCTATTAGGACTAATTTTTTTTGTGGGATCTGGGGCTGTAACTCAGGTTCTTCTGCTTGTATAAAAAGGACTTTACCAACAGAACTGTATCTCCAGCCCATGTATTATATCTTAGCCATTTATAAAAATAAGGGTCAGTAGTGTTAAGTACACTCACTTGCAACAGGGCCAATGTTGCTGTAAGTCCTACCAAGAGAACCAAATGATGCTATGGACTCTAAAGTGGAGGATGGACAAAAAGAAAGATAGGTAAAACGCTGTAGCAAAGAGAAATGCAATCACGATCAATTGAATCCAGACTCTTCCATTAAAATGCTGTGTGACTTTTAAGTAAGACATCCAACCTTTCTGAGCGTTCTTCTCCCCTGTTGGGGGAAAAATTTGTGTTTAGATGACCTCTTTCAGCTCCTCAAGTCGTGCATATAGCAAAGGGGCTAGGGGATCTTCTAAGAAGATGAGGCATGCAGCCAGTGAGCATAAGCTCCGTCTGTTTATTGTAAGGTCTCGGTGGAGAGGACGCAAAGCGTGCACCTGCTTCGCCGGTCAGAGTGCACCGTTGCAACCTGTGCGCGGCACTACCCTCCACCGTGGGTCCCCGAGGTCCGAGGTTGGCACACTGGCTCTCAGAGCAGGTGTTGGTGGATCCACACTGAGAGCTTGGCTCGGAGGGCTTTGCAAGGAGGACCCGGTATATGTCAGATGAATGCCTCCAGCGCTGGGAAACACTTAGCCGACGCGCGCGGCTGCTCAAGGCGTCACTATCACCTAGGATGCCAGGCTGAGAACAACGAAGCGGGTCAGCGCTGCACAACCAGGATCAGGCTAGGCGGCTGGGCGCAGCGCGCATGCGTGGCACGTGCGCGCGCACCTTCCTCCTCGGGCCGCGCGCCCCGACGCTCGCGAAGGCTCGGCGCGCCGGCTGTCCTCGGCCGCTCTGGGGACCTGAGGGACGCGCGGCCGCCTGCGGGGCCAGCGGTGCTGCTCGGGAGAGCCCGGAGGCCGGCGGTGAGGTGAGTCCTGCGGCCGACGTTTCCTCTGGGGCCGGGAGGGCGGGAGAGCAGAGCGTGTGGAGAGTGCCGAGGCGCCTGCCCCAGCCCGGCCGCCCCTCGTCAGGCGGCGCTCGTTGCTCGCGTCGCGGCCGAACAAAAGCCCGAGGCCGGCGCTGCCGAGGCGGGCGCGGAGCTGCGGCTGGCTAGCGGCCGGGCCTGAGTGGGGTCGGAGTGGGCGGCGCGGAGTTCGGGGCCGCGGCCGCGCTGAGCGAGGATGCCCCGGGAAAGCGGCGGGGCCAGTACGTCCCGCCCGCGCCGGGCAACCTGTGCGAGTGTGGACGCGGCGGGTCCCCGCGCCGGTCGCCTGCGGGGAGCGAGGCCGGCCCCAGCCGGTTTCTGCGTTCGGCGCCGCGGGGGCGTGGGCGGGAGGACGATGCGCCCGGCTCGGGCGCCGCTGCTTCCCTGCAGCCCCCGGCCGACCCCTGCCACCCAACGCCCAAAAGTTGTCCCTTGCTGTCCATCAGTTTGCAAAGTCGAAGGCTCCCAGCGCTGCGAGCTCCCCAGTTACCCCCGCAGTGGGGACTCGGGGTCGGCGATTTGCCCTGGAATGCGACGGTGAATTTATAGCCTCTGGAATAAAGGCACCGAGATGCAAGTAACGTTAAGGTTGTAAACATCCCCTAGGCTTTTCACATCTTGGGACTCTTGGAGGTAGGGACTTCCTCAAGGGAAGAGAAGAGGTTTTTCATTTTGCTTTTCTCCTCCCTTTCCTATTCTTTCCCTTTTGTGGGTAGAAAAAGAACAAAAGCGCATGCCATTAATTAAGCAGAAGAGACTTAAAGTTGAAAAACACCACGACTCGAGAGGTCTGGGTTTCGCCCAATGTAATGGAAAAAAAAAACAATTTTAACCTCCCTTCTGAATTTCTCAGGGTGCTGAACAGACGCACCAGTTCTAAATCTCACGGTAGAAAAGTCCTTCAGTACATCCGGAATGTTTGTTGATAGGAATTGGGTTACTTTGCAAAGCCAGTACATGAGAGCAAGGAAACAAAGACCAGCCGGGCTTAAGGATGCTACCTCCCTCCTCAGCCTGCTCTGGTCCTAGGTGGTCGGCTAGTGGCATAAGGGTCTAGAAGAGGACTGGATAAATCCTGAGTTGTGTATTAAGAAGCGAGTACTCAAGTCGTGCATGATGATGCCTCATGCCTGTAATTTGAATAATCGGGAGCTAAAGCAGGAGAATCACAGGAAGTTATAGTCCAGAATAGTCTGTGTAGTGGACCCCTTTATCAAAAAGAAAGACGGGGAGATCCTCGAGATGATAAGGCTTTACATTCTATCTTTACCTTAAACAAATTAGTGTTCCCCACCCTCTGAGAAACAATACATTTACTTGAACCACAGCATAAAGAAAAGATTCAGGGTTAAGGAGCCAGCGAAAGAAGTGTAAATATTTGGAAGCATAAAACCAAGATAAACTATAACCCAGTTGCAGCTCTTACCATGCTGCCCTATACTTAGTAAAGCACTGTGTAGTATTGATCTATCTGTCCCCCACATACTTTGAAGCTGTTAGGAAAATAGGCATACTTTTTAAAATAAGGTCTAGAATTCTATTTCGTCTTTTCTATTTTTTTCCTGTCATTTAGTAATAATGTGTATTTCATCGCCCAAAAAGCTAATAAAGTTCCATTAATGAAAAAAAAAAGTAACCATGGCCTCCTCATCCCTTTTATTCTTTTCTCACATTTCTTTGAACTTTATTTTCTGTTTTTTTTTTAATTCCATGCTTGAGATATTTGAAGTAGAAAGGGTTGAGAGGAATTTAATAGTGAAGTGTATAATAAGTCTTTGTATAATACAGCATGAAACGCCTAGGAAGAAGAGAGAAGGGAGTTTTGCTTACAAGAGATTGTTTCCCTGCTTGACCTCTGGGGGTTGGGAATCTACCCAACTTATGTTTCCTATTAGTTTGTTAGTAAAACTCTACAATGTTTTTTATGTAAAACTTCTGAGTGTGAAATAAGTTGTGGTGGCACACGCCTTTTATCCCAGCACTTGAAGGAGGATCTCTGTGAGCTCTAGGCTGGCCTGGTTTATATAGCAAGTTCCAGGACTGCCAGGACTACATAGAGAAACTTTTTCTCAAAAAAACAAAACAAAACAAACAAACAAACAAACAAAAAAACAACCAAAGAAAGCCTTCTGAGCGTATTAGTATATTGATTGTTCTTAGGAGGCAGGTGGTAGGCAACAGTTTTTAGCACATCATTATCTTCTTTCAGTTAAGATCAGGGCAGAGAGATAAAGTAAGGTTCCTAGGAAAGAAAATGAGAGTGTTCAGTGGTGGTACTTGTAAGGCTGGGAATAGCAGCTCTTCATTGGCTCACAGAGACTTTTAGCTGTTTTTTCAGAAATGGCCTCCCTCTCTGATTTCTGGTTTATCATTCTGGGAACCACCAGCTTCAGTGCATCCAGGGAATGCACTGTAAATGAAGCTTTTGAAGACTAACTGAGGGAGTGAGCTTCACACATTCCAGTCTCCCTCATTATGTCTCACCAAAACAGTACTTTAGTCAAAGCACACAGCGCATATGGTCTTGTTAAGGGAAAACATGAGGGCTTGCTATTTCCTCATAAAAGTTCAGTTTTCTGACCATCTTGATTTATTTTATTTACTCTTTTGCCGGCCTCTATTTAGGACTGGGGATACAGCCCAGCTGGTAGAGTGCTTACCTGGCACCCACAAGACTGAGTCTAGTCCCATGTACAGCAAACAAAACCAACCAGAATCTATCTTTGAATTTTCAGTCTTATGTACAGGTTAATTTTGAAAGATTGCTTGCTTTTCTTAGTTTCAGAGCTTAGTAGTTTGTCAGTCTGATTGAAATTTGGTTCCTATCATTCCTTTTAAATTCTGAATCTACTACTATTTGGTTTATTTCTTTAAACAATACCACTCAGCACAATGAAAGATTAGATGATTGTAATTAGTAAATGTCAAAGTTAAATTTAAAAATTAGAAAGGTGATGGGCACTAAGGCATATACCTGTAATTTCATTTTGAGAGAGGCAGGAGGCTCTGGAGTCAGATGATAACCTTAGCTACAAGAGATGCTGTCTTACTCCTTGCCTCAGGCAAAAATTAGATTGTTATAGTAAAATAGACCAGAAAAGAATTACTCTGATATTAATACAAATATAGATTCTATGAATTAAATATGATGTTATATAAACTTTTTTTGAAATAGCTAAGAGACAGTTTGTGGGAATGAGTTGTTTTTTTTTTTTTTCTTTAACTGTAAGATATAGAGGGCTGAGGAGGTGGCTTCCTTGATGAAGTGTTTGTTGTGTGTGAATGAGGGCCTGAGTTTGGATTCTCTACAGCCATGTAAAAAGCCTTATGTGGCAGTAGGTGCTTGTAACCCAGTGTTGGCCAGAATGGAAACAGAAAGATCCTTCTTCTGATCTAGCCAGTTGGTTAGCTCCAGTGAGAAACCTTGTTTCAAAAAAAGAAAGAAAGAAAGAAAGAGGCGTAAAGCACTAGAGGACAATACCTGGCACATGCAGGCACACATATGAGTACAGACAAACATAGACCCCCCCCCCCCAGTAAGAAATGGAAAATAACAGGCTAAATACTGACTAGGCTTTAGGAAAAGGGAAGTGATACTGGAATAGGTTGTAGGAATATTTTTATAATAAGACAGTGGTTTCGTTCAGAGAGACTTACTTAAAGCAACCCATTGCTAGTCCTTTGCTATGCATTCTTGAAGAATGTATCTGAAAGATGGGACCATCCTGGCTTTTCATGCTGTAGCTAGTGTATGTAGCATTACAACTTACAGATGAAATTTCTGAACTGCCTGTATTTACAGGGTGTCAAAATTAAATGAAAACTAAGAATAGTGAGATGGGCCCTGTGTGTGGAGAAAGTGATAGAAAGGTATTTATTTATGAGCATAGTCTTTTGTTGCCATTTTTTTCTTGATAAGCCCCTTGTGACACACTTTCCCATGGTTGCATCTGGGATCCGCCTGCTTTTTCCACCTGAGTTGTTTGGATCTGGCTTTGTTAGCCAGCCTGGGAAGACAGCCTTTCAACATTTCATTCATCTTTTTCTTGCTGTTGTTCAGATCATGGGCTCAGCTAAGTTAATTTTAAAGGCCTTTACTTTTTCTCATCAAATGGACAATAATTGGAAAAATACCAGATTCCTGATGATCTACATTCATAAAACTAAAAATGAGTACATTTCAAGTATTTCCCATGCCCGTCCTAGTATAGGAACTCAAACCAGGGCTTCACACAGGCTAAGAAAGCACTTTTACACCAAGCTGTGTCTCTAGCCCTAGTCTAGAATGTTACCAAGCACTAACAATCAATTTTCCAAATATTTTATATTGCTCTGTGAAGAGGTGAAAGTGCTTCTTAACACACAGTGCATGAACTGTCATAGCATTCATTTCACTCTGGTGCCCAGAACTGCCTACTCCTTGTGTTAGCTCAATGGGCTTCTTTATTCTGTTGGAATTCTACAGAGTCTTGCCAAAAAAAAAAAAAAAAAAAAAAGAAAGAAAGAAAAGAAAAGAAAAAAGGTATAATAATCAAAACATTGCCTCAAACAACCTTAACCTTTATTTAATGGGTTGCTATATTTTATCTTTTTGAGTCCAGAATTACCTATTTCCTATCTTTTCTACCTGAGTTATTTGGATCTGGCTTTGTTAGCCAGCCTGGGAAGATGGCCTTTCAACATTTCATTCATCTTTATATTAGAGCTTTTCCATGGATGAGCCTTCCTTGAGAAAAATGGCACATTCTCCCGATTCTGATTAGAACCAGGTATTTCAGGGACTATAGAGATGGTTAATCAGTAAATATGCAAATGAAGCCTGATCCTTGGTACATACATTAAAAAGATGCCCTGTGTAGAAGGTGCATATGTCTGATTCCAGCTTCAGAGACAGGTGGATTGTTGAGACTGGCTCACCAGACAGCCTAGCTGGCCCTTGGTAAGAGACTTGATCATCTCAGCAAAATAATGTGGATGCTTCTGAGAAAGACACCTGAGCCTACACCTTATCCCTACATGCATATGTGTATATATGTACATATGTATAGGTAACTGACTGCTCAAATGTGATGTAGAATGTGTACAAGATGATTTAAAACACATATACCATTTTTGGGCTGATGGGTAACCTGAATTTTTCAGTGTTAAAAAAAGTCAAGTTTTGCCAGGTATTGTGTGCATGCCTTTAATCCCAGCACTCAGGAGGCAGAGGCAGGAGGATCTCTGAGAATATGAGACCAGCCTGGTCTACAAAGCAAGTTCCAGGACAGCCAAGACTGTTACACAGAGAAACCCTATCTCAAAAAACAAACACCACTACCAACAACAAAAAAGTCATTTTGTTTGGTGTTTTATTTTTGTGTGTACTTGTGTGTGTATGAGACAACATGCATGTGGAGACCAGAGGATAATTTTTGTGAGTTACTCCTCTCTGTCCTGTGGCTTCTGGGAATTGAACTCCTGTCAACCATGCAAGTACTTTTACCTGATGGGCTGGCTGGCTGGCCTGAAAAATCTATTTGAATCATACTAAATTATCACTCCTCTGCTTTTCTTACTACCTGCACTAATACAAGTAGTATATCCCTTAGCTTGTTGCTTTAATTACCAGCCAATAAACTGTTCAGCTAGCATTTATTCTTGTCTTCCATTCAGCACACATTTGTAGATTTGAAGTTACATCCCTTATACACATAGTAATATAAAATCAGGTCTTTCATAAAATTCCATAAGGCACTTAAATTATTTTTAAATAATTGGAATGTCCTTCCTCTTTTAGAGATGGTCATATTTTGTAGCCCAAACTATTCTTCATTTGTAATCCTTTGCTGAGTTCTGGGATTATAGGTGTGTACCATGACATCAAGCTAAAATAGCTGGGTTTTTTTGCTTATAGGCTTTTCTGACAGAAGTTAGTTATATATGCATACTGTTTCTTAACTCCCTTAACTCTTTGCATTAGGTTGTGTGTGGTGACACATAATCGCAGTCCTTGGGAAGCACAGGCAGGTGGATCTCTGTGAGTTCAAGCTTGGCTAGGGCCAAGTAGTGAGACCTTACCTTAAAAAAATAAGTGTGTGCAAGTGTGTAAATGTAATGTATGACAGTTAGGACAACTTTGAATGCCAGTTTTTACCTTCCATCAAAAGACTGAAAGTCTTTTACTTACTGCCGTATATGCCAGGCTGGTTGGCTCTCGGGCTTCCAGGGATTCTCCTGTATGTGCTCCCCTCTGCCTGTTGGCATGCTAGGATTACAGATATGTGTTACTGTATCTGGCGTTATGTAGGTTCTGGAAATTTGAACTCAGTGCTTCATGGTTAACACCACAAGCGCTTTACCTACCGAGCATTTTTCTAGCCCTAATTTTTTTTTGCTTATTAATGTTGTTATGTTAATAAATACAATCCGTGAGCATCTTTTGGAAGGGAGAAGCAGTGTCAGGGATTGAACGTGGGTCTTTTTGGTGATGAGTGCACAGGATCACTGTGTGTGCTCTTAGTCATGTTTGTCTGTTTAGTGTCTTTATAGTCCATCATGTGGTATACCACATTAGCCAAACTACTATTGGTAATCTTTTTGGTTATTTTCAGGTTTTTTTTTTTTTAGTTGTTATAAATTACTTATGCTAATATTTCAGTTGTATACTACATGCACTTGTATCCTTCAGGATTAAATTATGAATAGGTTTGCTGGATCAAGTTGTGCCCACTTGAAATCTTTTGGTATAAAAAGTCATTAAAAATTATTTACCATATGCCTGCAGTCCCTAAAGAAGCCAGAAGACGGTATTGAATCTCTTGGAATTGGAGTTACAGATGGTTGTGAGCCACCTGCAGCCAAGGAATTGGACAGAGGCTCTCTGGATGAACGTTATGTGTTCTTAACCACTGAGCCATCTCTCCAGCCCAATAAGTAGCCATTTAAGAAAAAAAAGTATCAATTAGTTTAAATTCTTATCTAAAGTATTTTGAAATGCTGAATATAATTTCTTCCTTACATTCTATTCCATACTTTGTTCTGTCATTGTTATTTTTGTACATCGGATTGGCAGAAGTATTATGTTTGCTCTTTTTATTTGAAGTTTTTTATTTGTGAAGTTAAACATCACTTCATATGTTTATTGGCTATATGTGTATTTCTTTTGTTCTTTGATACTTTTTCTAGTATTCTTTTTTAATTATTATATTTTATATGTATGAGTGATTGCATGATGTCTATGTACTATGTGCATATCTGGGGCCCTCGGAAGAGGGCATTGGATCCCCTGGAACTGGGGTTATGGATAGTTGTGAACTACCATGTGGGTGCTGGAAAACAAAACTGAATCCTCTGCAAGAGCAACAAGTGCTCTTAAGCCCTTAGCTATCTCTTTAGCCCTACTAGTTATTTTTATATCCCTCTACTTCTTAATGTCATGTAGATTATTATATATAGATATACTTTTTCTGTTTTAGCATAGCATTTCTCAAGACCTGACTTACAAGACATTTGTACTTAGGACCATCCTTAGGAGTTATTTCTTAGGTAGTGGTCCTTAGGCAATGGCTCTCTCTTCAGGGGAGTTAGGCAGGTTAGAGGAAGTTACCACTAACTTGGAATCATTCCTAGCCCTACTCTGTCTTGTCTACATAGCTAGGCCTTGTGGTGACCCTTTGTTGGTCATGTGTTTGATTGAGATTCCAGGGGAATGAATATGGCATTACATTTTTGTGTTATCTAAAATGATGCATCATTGGCAAAACTGGCTGGTAATACTTCTAGAACCTTCTATTTGTTAGTTCAGTTGATATTGGTTGATAGAGGTGGCCTTGTCAACTGCAATTCAGTGCCCCAAACACCTAATGTGTAATGCTACTTTTTTTCCGATGCATTATTTCATAATCTACTTGTAGATTCTCCTGTTCGAGAAGTGATGTGTAAATAATTTTCAGGAAAGAAAAATATGGGTTAAGTGGCAGTGTTTACAATGTAGCATTAATAAGAAGTTTTAATCTTGTCCCAGAGCTTTCACAGCTGCTTTCTATCAAGTCAGTTAATACAAAAATGTACTGCCAATGACCAGAACACACTGCCAATGACCAAAACATGTAAAAAAAAAAATTGAAATTCCATAGTCTATTTTAAAACAGGTATCATTTAAACACAGTTTGGGACATATCTTGTGACAGAATTCTCTACCATTTGTTATATATGTAACTTGGAATATAAAAATATAATTATAGGGCTGGAGAGATGGCTCCGTGGTTAAGAGCACTAACTGCTCTTCCAGAGGTCCTGAGTTCAATTCCCAGCAACCACATGGTGGCTCACAATCATCTGTAATGGGATCAGATGCCCTCTTCTGGTGTGTCTGAGGATAGCTACAGTGTACTCATATAAATAAAATAAATAAATCTTTATATATATTATATAATTATAAATGTTAAATATTATTTAAGGACTATTTTGAGTATGTGAATATATACATATATATCATACATGATAAAATAGAAAAACTGTTACTTTGTGAATACCCTTTTATTTTCTCTATTAAATTTGTATGATATCTTATCAGATATTTTAATGTTAAGTCTGCAGTATTTTGAGAAGTCATTAACTTTCCCATTTTCAATATTTTTCAGATATTTCCGCAAGAAAGAAATCACTCTCCTCCTAAGATGGAATCTGTGATTTGGGAATGTGGTTGATCAACCTGATAAGCTGGCCAGATGTGCCCTATGTAATAAAATGAAAAGAAGATACAAGATGATGTCATTTTCCCATATTGTGAAACCAAAAACAAATGCCCTTTGTGAGACCAGGTTAACAGTGCTTTGACAGTACAGGGAGTTTTTAACTGAGGAGCCTAACAGATACAGAAGGGGTACTTTCAAGCTGAGACCTGCAGGCGTAGACTGATCTAAAACACATCTTGAGTAGATCTGATTATCCGAGCCTCATTCTGATCGAGGAAGAATGGCTGTGAGCTGGATTATCTTTTATCTTTGGCTCTTGACTGTGTTTCTGGGGCAGATAGGTGGGCACAGTTTGTTTTCTTGTGAACCTATAACCTTGAGGATGTGCCAAGATTTGCCTTACAATACTACCTTCATGCCTAATCTTCTGAACCATTATGACCAACAGACTGCAGCTTTAGCAATGGAGGTAAGACACTCCAGAAAGTAACCTGTGCTGCCCAGATGACTCACCTAATGTGTTTCATAGAAGCAATAGGAGATAGTGCTGTTTTTAACTTTAATCTTATACATTTGAAAATTTATATAGTTTGGCTCATACTAAAATGGATTGAAGAATTTGTGTTTAAAGAGATTCTACTCTTCAATTTATGTTTAGACATGTTTTTATAAAGAATTCGAAATACTAAAACATGGATGATGATACCTCTTCAGAGATTACATCTGTTATTTAACTAATAAATAACTTTATATAGATAGCAGAGTATAATAATATTGCATAACATTTAGTAGCTAAGTATGAAATATTATGTCATTTGTTTTGTTTTGTTTTGTTTTGTTTTTCAAGACAGGTTTTCTTTGTGTAGGCACTGGCTGTCCTGGAACTCACTTTGTAGACCAAGCTAGCCTTGAATTCAGTTCAGCCTGCCTCTGCCTACCCAGTGCTGGGATTAAAAGTGTATGTTACCACTACCCAATATAATGTAATGTTTTTAAGGCTGAATTTTTTTGTTCTTTAGGTTTACAGTATTTCCTCCACCTATTTCTTAACATCCAAGATGATTTCCTGGTCATGTTAAGTTCACATCAATTTAAGAGTAACTTTTAAGCAATGAGAAAGGCTTTGTTATGCTAATTCTGTTACTGATGGTTCAGAATTCTACGTAAGTTTGTTGCCTTACTTGCAGGTACTTACTCTTCAGGTACTTCTTAATTTTGCTTCAGAAACTATATCCTATTAGTGAATATGGTAAAAGTGTATGTAATAGTCTTAGATTTGAGGACAAAGATCTATTTACTAGATAGAAATGGTGAGACAGTAAAAGTCTAATGAAGAATATGGGCTTAGGAGCTAGGCAGCCTAGTGTTTGAACTTAAGCAGTGTCACTGTGGCAATTTCTGTGAACCTTACCAACCTAGTTCCTTTGATTTTAGTAACACCAGTAGCGTGCTGCTGCTGCTGGTGGTGGTGGTGATGGTGGTGGTGGTGGTGGTATAAGCCAGTATTTGCAAGATGGAGACAGGAGGATCAGGAGTTCATGACAGTTCTTTTCTACAGGGTGAAGTAGAGGCCAGTCTGGGCTGTGTATAACCCTGCCTCAAAAGCCAATAAAATAAAGTTAGTAATAATTATACAAGATTTCATAGTACAAAATTAAAATATGCCTATAGGGTATTTAGTACACACTAAATACTCTCTAAGTGATGGTTTTTGCTATTTAGGCAATGTCTCACTATATAGCCCTGGCTGGAATGCTTCCTGAGTTCTGGGATTAAAGACGTGTGCCACCACACCCTGGCTATCTATATTCTTATGTTAGCATGACCATGTAATATAATTTGGACAATGTCTTATATTTTTATCAGTTTGACAGTGTTTCAGAGCCTACATTTGGAATTCTTCATTTTACAGTAAAACACATATTCACTGCTTCAAAGTCTTATATAAATCTGGTGAAATTTGTAGAAAGATCATTATTCATAGTATCTCAAAATATGGCAGGGATGATAAATTATCCAAATATTTGATGATGCTAAAGAGATTGAACAAAACATTTTCTGCTCTTTTTATGACTATAAAAGGTCTAACTAATAAAGAGAAATATTTGTCCTCAACCATCAGACTAAGATTTATATGGAAGGGGTATTATCTGATGTCCATAAGTTGGCTCCTGGCGTGATAGTTGTAGTAGTCTTTGCTATGTGCTGAAGATTGAATTAGAAATACCCTCATATCTAGTATCACTGCTAAGTCACAATTTCCTTGGAAACAAGTGATAAGGATGCCTGTGCTAACTTAGGTTCTGCTTTGACTCTGTCATGCATAGGTGTAAGACTTTGGACAAATTGCCTATCATTCCTACATCTTGTTTTCATAACTTATTTTAGGCAACAAAAATGAAAAAAGCCTAGATATGCTTGTGAGGATTAAATGAGAGATTTGTAAGTAGCTGTAAAATGCATGGTGTACAAATTTTAATTTTGTTCCTGATCCTGTTTCTACTTGTCAGAGTTGCTAGTAAGGTGATGGACTTGCTTCATTATACTTGGGTTCATGGGACATTCAGAATGATGGCATGATTTTCTGCCTTCTCAAATTTGCCCAAGTAACCCATATAGTTTGTCAGCGGGTTTGCCTCTGAATTTCTGATAGCATAGGAAGTCTGTAAGTGGGAAGTAGTTTCTAAGAGAAGGCTTCAAAGATTAGACGAAACCCTGGAGAAGTGTATTTTATGGCTGTCATAGCAGGACTGGGTTGCCACTGACAGAATTGTCAGATACAGTTTGAAAGTGTGAGTTTCATGCAATAGCAAAAGACTTGAAAATTAGCAGACATTGCAATGCTTACAGCTGTCTCTCAGCTCAGTAATTCTGTTTTAAAAAACATTGTTTTCCCTGGTACTGGGGATCAAACCAGCACTGGTTTGTTGTTGTTGTTGTTGTTTTGGGTTGTGTGGGGGATAATTTTTTGAGACAGAGTTTCTCTGTGTGGCTGAACCAAGGTCTTAAGCTGCTAGAAGACTGTATCAACTATTTAATGTGTTGAGTCTCTGCTGAACTGCTTTCTGCCGTGGCTGCAGTTTCAGATTCCAGGTAACACAAGGATTCCTAATTTCTCTCCTCGCTCGTGAGCACGTGCCTGCCTGCCTTTCTTCTTACTCTTAAAAAAATTATCATAGCTGCACTACTCCAATGGCTATGATGTCTCTGGTGTTTATGGCTACATTGGGTTGGACATTGGGTTGGACAATTCCCGTTTCTTCACTCAGTGCTTACTGATGAACATGGGGGATTTTTTTCTGTTCTTTGCTCTTACAACAAGTGCCACACATGTGTTTTCATACTTCTGCTGATACAGTTTTGAAATGAAATTCAGATATTCAAAGAAAATGTTTTCATTGATAGTTTTAAATTCTTTTTTTTAAAGATTTATTTATTTATAATATATGAGTACACTGTAGCTGTCTTCAGACACACCAGAAGAGGGCATCAGATCTCATTACAGATGGTTGTGAGCCACCATGTTTGCTGGGATTTGAACTCAGAACCTCTGGAAGAGCAGTCAGTGCTCTTAACCACTGAGCCATCTCTCCAGCTCAGTTTTAAATTCTTTTTTTTTTTTTTTTTTTCGAGACAGGGTTTCTCTGTATAGCCCTGGCCGTCCTGGAACTCACTCTGTAGACCAGGCTGGCCTCGAACTCAGAAATCCGCCTGCCTCTGCCTCCCAAGTGCTGGGATTAAAGGCGTGCGCCACCACTGCCCGGCAGTTTTAAATTCTTAATAGAAGTTAACAGTAATTTTTTTTGTCCCTGGTAGCAGTGCATGAGAGAACCTGTTTCTTACCATTAGTAGAATCTGCTCTTTATATTAAACTGTCACTGACAGAAACCTACAGAAATAAAATAAGGATGAAGAGGTTTATTTTGGCTCACAGTGTAGGAACTTGTACTGCATTGTGGGGGGTGGTGTAGCGGAGTGGCTCAGTTCATAGTAGATGTTTGTGGTCCTGTTGCTCACATTGCAGTGGACCCACAAGAAGAGAGAACACTTGAGCCAGCAGCTGAGTTTAACCCTCAAATGGACACTCTAGTAGATCTACTTCCACCAGGCAAGCCCCACCTCCTAAAGCCTTCCAAAAGAGTCATACCTGCTGGGACCAACTGTTCAAAACAGGAGCCTTTCGGAACATTCAGAGTCAAGCCATCGTATTCAGTAGTAAACCACTCTTGTAGCTGGAAAATAGCATCTCATTGATCTTAAGCACTTCCTTTACAGAGACAGAAATTACATCATATGCAAAAGTAATTAAGTAAAGATTAATTATACTGTAATGAAGAGGGAAGAGTAAGAAGTTTGGAGTACGGTAATTCAAGCCCCAAGTTTTGTTACTTAAAAAGAGTGAAGCTGGGACTAAGTGTCTTACACTACCATCATTAGGTTATATTGGTTACAATGATCAAACAAAATATGAAAGTTACATTATAAAATAGCAGTGCCAGTCCTTGCCCAGAGGATCTAATTTGAAGCATCATAGACATTTGTAAATGGCTTCTACTTTAATAGTCATTCTTAGTGGTTTTCAAAAGCCAATCACCACATTTGCAGTTGCTTAACCTTATCAAGTCATGGTAAACACCATATCTGCCTGGAAGGCTCTGTCAGTATCTGGGTGATAGCATACTTTTTTTTCAAGGCTTGACTTGGGTCTGATTTTGATTTCTTTGTGGAACCTAGGAAGACCAAAGTTTGTGCCTTTACCAACATACTTAGCAGTATGCTTTGTTTACCCCTGTTGTGTGCGCTCGTGTGCGTGTGCGTGCATGTGTGTGTGTGTGGGGGGTTGTTATTACAATATTTATTTTTTGTTCCACTTCTGGAATTTGGAAGCTTGTCCTTTGTATACCTAGTACTTAACTCAGAGCCTTACATATAATATTTACTAATAAGTAAGTGTTTGAATTGAACTATAAGTTCCTTAGTAATGGTAGTAAAAGTAATTATGTTTTGCTGCTATACCTAAATCTTACTCTCTTGGGGTTGAAAATAGTTTGGTGGGATAGTGATACTGATCATAGTTCCAAAGCTACCACCTGCCTGTGAACACTAGTGTGATACTTCTCTGTCTGTCTGCCTTTTCTTTTTCTTTTGGTTATCGCTGAAAGTGATTAGAAACTTTCAATGTATATGTTTGCATTTTATAAATAATGTAACTAGTAAAAGAATGACGCAACATAACTTTCCTTTCTCTAGGATCTTGTTTTGCTTCTGCTTCAGTGTACCTTTGCTTGTCCAAATTCTGTTGTTCTTGATCTGTTGTTAAGTTTAAGAAAAAAATGCACAGGGTGTGTGGCTTAACCAAATCATTTGTGTTACTGTGCTGGTTAGTTTTATGTCAACATGATGCAAGCTATAGTCGTCTACCTCAGTTGAGAAAATGCCTCCATGAGATTGGCCCGTAAGTACATTGGT